TGTTCATGACAACACTACTTATAATAGCAAAATATCGGAAACAACCTAATGGCCACATCAGGAGACTTGTTGAATATATATGGTAATAGTGGAATAGTCTACAGTTGGGAAAAAAATGAAAAAGATTTGAATAGATACAGTATAATCTCAGGATACATTAGGTGAAGAAAATTAAAATAAACAAAAAAGCACACAGTAGGTTATCATTTGTGCAAGAAGGAAGACAAAATAAAGTATATTGCAAAAAGAAATATAGAGAAGATATGAAAATAATGAAATTGGTTATCTACATGAATAAGTAGAAAAGAAAGGCTAGAGGAGATGGAACTTCTCTGAGTGTCTTTTTTCACATAGTTCTGACTTATGAACCATGTTAATGTTCTATATATTCAAAAGATAAACTAAAATCAACAAGAATGGGAGAAACCCTATAACTGAATACAGAGACAAACTTAACTATGTGTCCGATAGATAACCATACAGTGAGAACAAAAGAAATAGAATTAATCCCAGTGATTTTGAACTAAGTATATTGATTATATACCTTGAGTGTGATATACTCGAAGGAAAAAGAATGGCAAGAAACCATTGTTATTGGTGCTATTGTCACTGGTGCTATTAGAGTAGCTCCGATATTATGTTGTATCACAAGACTCAGCAAACAAAAAGATTTATTGTTGCTTTTGCAACCTTGGTTTGCACTGTGAAAGAAGGACAAAACCAATCTGAAATGGGGGAAGGAGATAAAAGGCTAATTCTACCCAGAGATCATTTGTATACATTTATTTTTTAAAGAGGAAACTGTACTTCTTAGCTCTGTCCACTGGGTGAGCTTGGACATAACTCCAGCAGCAATGAACACCCCTAGCACCTAATCTTGGTTTCTAAATAAAATCCCCCAACAATTGGAACCTTGAAGAAATGGCTAATTGCATGGCTGAGATTGGAAAAATACAGGATTAGTTGGAATGGCTTGTTCCATAAAACTAAAAAGTGCTTAAAAATGCAGGGGGACACAGGAGGCAGTATGAAGGCATCTCACTGGCCAAATCCATAATTCCTTGAGCATCGAAATTAATAGCAACCTGAATGGATTATACCACGCTAATAAAAGAATCCATAGAGTCACCTGGGTGGCTCAGTTGGTTAAGTGTCCGAATTTGGCTCGGGTCATGATCTCCCTGTCTGTGGGCTCGAACCCTGTGTCAGGCTCAATGCTGACAGCTCAGAGCCTGGAGCCTGCTTCAGATTCTGTGTCTCCCTCTCTCTCTGCCCCTCCCCTCATGCTCTGTCTCTGTCTCTCTTTCTTGAAAACAAACATTTAAAAATTTTTTAAATAATAAAAGAACCCATAAATCTATTTTATATTAAAAAGATAAAACATAATAAGAATGGGGTAGAGAAGAGAATCTCTTATTTTTTTTTTTAATTTTTTATTTCAACGTTTCAACGGAGAGAGACAGAGCATGAACGGGGGAGGGGCAGAGAGAGAGGGAGACACAGAATCGGAAACAGGCTCCAGGCCCTGAGCCATCAGCCCAGAGCCCGACGCGGGGCTCGAACTCACGGACCGCGAGATCGTGACCTGGCTGAAGTCGGACGCTCAACCGACTGTGCCACCCAGGCGCCGCTCTTATTTTTTTTTTAATGGGGGAATGCCAACTAACAATGTTAGAAGGAATGAGAGACATTTTAAAATCACCACGTTACAGTCACCCTGGTAATATTCAGTTCAGGCAAGAATCATCAGTGGATGGGAAAACCATTGGGTAGAAGAATGGTCACACAGGATCACAGTTCCTCCTCACAGATAACTTATAAATCACATGGAGGGAGGCACCCTTACAAGGGAGAACTCTGGCAGACACACCTTAATCAAATTACCAAACTTAACACAATCAGTTAGGGTATTTACCAGCATCACATGTATCCCCCAATGCACTACCTTAAGGACAAAACATGATCTATTTTTTATTTCTTCCCAGAGAGTTTAATCTGATTCCAGCAATAAAAAAAAAAAAACAAAACAAAACAAAAAAAAAAAAACAATTTGGACAAATCCAAATTGAAGTGCATACACACAAAAAGCCAGCCTAAAGTTTTCATCAACACAAAAGAACAAACCAAGAGACTAAAGAACTATTCTAGATTAAAAGAGATGGAAAAGGCAGGGTAAGTAAATACAATGTGTGGTCTACAGTAAATCTAATAAGCAATGACTGAAAAAAATGAATAAGATAATAAAGTCAATTCATCACAATAGCAAATTTAATGGAGTCAATCATATAATCTTCTCAATAAGTGCAGAAAAAAAATATTAGATAAAATCCAATATCCACTCATGATTTTTTAAAAATCTCTTAGCAAATGAGTAACAAGATAGAACTGCTTAGTCTTATAAAGAGTATTCACAGAAAAGCCTACAGCATACACCGTACATACTGACAAAATGTTAAACGCTTTCTTTTTGAACTTGGGAATAAGGATGCCTCCAAACATCACTTCCATGAAAAATTGTAGTGGAGCCAGCACAGGAAGAAAAGTAAAAGAAAGAAACAGTATGTAGGTTGAAAAGAGAGCAACAAAACTGTCATTATTGGCAGGGTTGCGTATATAGAAAACCCAAAAGAATATGCAGATAACTTATTAAAATTTATAAGAACTTAATTGGGTTCACAATCAATATATAAAAATCAATTCCATATACAAATAAACATTTTCAAAACAAACATCTAAAAATCCATTCAGACAACAAAAGGTCATATGCCTAAGAATAAATTAAACAAAACATACACAAGCCCTCACCAGAGAAACTATAAAACTTCAAGAGGCATTAAAGAAGATCTAAATATATGCTCATGATTTGGAAGACTCAATATTGTAAAGATGTTTGTTGTCCCGAACTTGATCCATAGAATTCAGAGCAATTTTCATCAAAATCCCGACAGGTTTTTTGAGGGGTAGAAATTGAAAGTAAACTGTATATGGAAGTTCAAAGTCAAGTCATTTTTAAGAAGAAAAAAAATAGAAAGACCTGTTTCCTCCAATAATAAAACTTACTATAAAGCTGCAGTATGGAGACAATGTGCTGTAGGCAAAGGGGCAGACAAATGGATAGATAAAGCTGAGTTCTGAAGCTGATGCAAGCACATCTGAGCCCTTTCCATATGAACAGAAAGGGCTCTTCACAGCAGTGAGGAAACCATGGACTTCACCATAAATAGTGTGGAGACAACTAGGTATTTGCACAAAAAGAAGTGTGTAAAAGTCGGTTCCTCTCTTACACTAGTCACAAAGACCAATCCCAGGTGCATTCAAGACCCAAATGAGAAAAGAAAATCTATGAAGTTTTAGAAGGAGATATGGGATATCATCAAGACCTCAAGGCAGGAGAGGAGTTCTTAAATAAGACCCAAAGAGCACAAACCATGCAGATTAAAAATGTTAGTAAAAGGTGAAATATTTATATGATCTGAAGAGAAACCAGACTATAAGATCGAAAACTTTAGAAATAAAGAGACAGAACACAAAACCGACAACAGCCAGACGACTGATAAAACTGAACTCTGACCAGCACACCAGCAGGAGACCCAACCACCACCCCAGCAGCCATCAGTCCAGAACAGTGAGGACCTGGTCCCCGATTGCAGCTTCCCTACTTTTTGTCCCTGCTTCCAACTCAGGACCAACCACAGAAAGCCACATATGTTCCCCAAATGAATCATGTCAGATGCCTCGCTTCTCATTAGCCCACCTCCAACTTCCCCATGGCAACAGCTTCCAGTCAGAGCACACCTGAGTCCTTCCCCTTTTCACTGTCAAGCTTTCCCACACCCCTGCCTGCGCTGGCGTCTCCCCAAAGTGAATGTTGCTGCCTTCCCTGCTTCAGCAACCTCTGAATTGCCTCCATTTGTTCTCGTTTGGGTCATCTTCATTTATTTCCCCCAAATCCAGAATTTTGCTCATCTAAAGTCTCCATAAAGAGAGCAGAAAGACAAGGTTCAGAAAACATTAGCTGTACCTGTCACCCACAAAGAGCAAGTGCACAGCATGTATGAAAAAAAACCCTTAAACCATGGGAAAACAGGAAAAACCTATACAAAAATGGGAACACACTTGAATAGGCACTTCACAAAAGAGGAATTCATATGGATCAAACATGAAGGAAAAAGCTCCTCTGTCTCATTTAGCAATCAGGAAAATATGATCACCCTGGATATTAAGCATAGCAAGCATTATTATCCTCCCCTTGCCTCATACCCTGCACCCTTGAGCACCACGCTCCCCCCCCACCCCACCCCCCACACACCTCCATTAGACAGGGTAACAAACCTGTCCAAGGTAAGCAGCAAGACTGGTGCTTGGACCCCAGCCAGACCTCTGGGGGCTAGAGAGAAAGTGCTTTCCCTCTCTGGGCCCAGGCCTCTCATATGGAGAGGCCAAAAAATCATCTTTAAGGCTTTCCAAACAAAGAGGAGCCAGAGGTCAGGAGAAGAGAGGCAAAGGGGATGTGGCAGAGGCACAATCTTCTCCTAATCATTAGTTCAGGAGAAATCCAAAGCTCTGACTAGTAGCCCACTCATTTCTGAAACCTACCTTCCTCTTTCCTTTTAGCAAAAACAAAACAAAGCCCGTAAATAGTAGTACTACCATTTTAAGGATGAGAAAGAAAAAAAAAAAAAAATCAAGGTCCAGGGAGCTAGAACTTGCCCAAGGCCACACAGCACAGAGAACTAGAACCTGGGTCTTTGTGACTCCCTCTACCGACGGCTTTTTTCTGCACCACAGAACTGTTACCCATCAGCACTTTTCACCTATCCCCAGACCTGCCTCTTGCCTCACAGCTGTGGGCACTTGAATCTCAGCATTCCAGCCTGCTTGGGTCTAACCTGTGCATTCTGTGCTCATGAAAAAGAGGTATTCCTCTCTCAAGCTCTAAGCAACAAGGGACATCAGCAGACTGACCCATTAGTTGCCCTCTGGGCAAAAGGAAGACTTACCTTGCCCCAGAAGCAACAGCAGCCCCAGGAGGAAGATGCGTGGCTGCAGCCCCATGCCAGAATCGTCCAGGTGTCCCAGCCTTGGATGAATGGTTTGCACAGGTGGAGGCTGCCACACTTCCTCCTGCTTTTATTCTCCTCTGTTGTCTGATAGTACACCTGTCATAAATTTTACTGTGTTCACCTTTGAAAGGGTGCAGTGGCCAGCTGTAAATGATAAATAATAACATTTAGACAAGATTTCTCAAGGTAGATAGGTCAAAGATGGGTAGCATGTTCTAGACAAAGGCACCAAAAGACCAGGACCACATAGCCCCCTTTATATGGCCCCCCAGAATCGTAGGCGTCCAAAAATCAGGCACTGACAGGCTGGGAGGAGCTTAGGATTGGAAATACAGGGCTGGAATCTCAGATTAACCACACCTGTGAGATCTAGGGTGCGTCCCTTAATGTGGCCTTAGCTTTTCAACTGTAAGCCATGGAAATAAAAGCCACAAATTGAGTGAAAGTACTTAGTAACAACTGTAAACCATAAAGCCCCCTCCAATGTGACATCTCTTAGTGTCTGAGGAGCGCAGCTGAGTTCCCCAGTCTACAAGATCCAGAAAGGTTTGTTTCTGTCCCTCTCTTCCAAAGCCATGGGTGGCGGGGAGTGTTAGAGTGATGTGCACGCCACACATTGATTGTCTGCAAGTTGAATTGAGAGATACAAGCCAGAGAGGTGAGCCCTTGGAACGCATTTGACAGAATTAGCATTTTGCTTTGGGCGACTGACGTTGAAATGCTGGGCAGGGTCTAAACTGGGCAGACAGAGTTGGAATTTAAAGCCTCAGTGACAAATATCCTTGGGGGTGAAATTTAAATATTTTCCACAAATATCAAGTATCATTCGCCTTTGGGTAACGTGGCCAAATATATGTAAATCATCCTTGCATTCTGGCCACAGTTATGGCAGCAAGGCTGAGAGCCAGACTTCTGAACTCCAGCTTGGGGACCTGGAGCTGGTTTCTATTGTTCAACCTTGGTCTTCATCTGCTGACATCTTTTTCTATATGCTTAAAATCACAGTTATAGGTTGGTTGTCTTGAGTATAAAGTGAAGTCTAAGTGGGCGGCCTTCTGTTCCTGGCTCTCTGTTATTAAGGTATTGTCTTCCTTTCTCATCTGCTCAATAAAATGTGACTTGTGGGTGACCACTGATTTAGCCATGCCAAAGCCTCAGCCTCAGAGCCGTATGTGATGTGATGAGGTCACATCAGGCGTGTATGGCCGCTGCTACAACAGGCCCAGCTGGCCATAGGCTGGTTCCAGAGTCTGGCTGAGAGCAGCATGCACAGAGAAGGAAGAAGAAAATACACCCGAGGAGGGGTATGCAAGGGCCATTTGGGCATAGATGTTCCTGACCGTTGGACACTTACTATCTTCACTAATTGGCCACAAGCTCAACAAGAGACCCAAAGCTGCTGTCTCACTACTAATGACAACAGGAGTCCCTCCCTCCTAGCTCCATGCCACCAGCAGCTTTGAGAAGCATCCCTGATGCTTGGACTGAATGAAAAGTCACAGGTTCCCACTCAACTTGGGCCCGTTGGAGGTAGGGTAGGACATGTCATGGGAAATGGACAGAAATAGCCTGGCTTTACAATCTGGGTATTTGCTTCCACCTCTTAATGCTTCTCTGCACGACCACCATGGCCCCACTGGGTTGGCACACACACCAACCTCCAACCTTTTTTACATTTAAAAGCATTGAGAAATGAATTAAAAACATTTTTGGGGCGCCTGGGTGGCGCAGTCGGTTAAGCGTCCGACTTCAGCCAGGTCACGATCTCGCGGTCCGTGAGTTCGAGCCCCGCGTCGGGCTCTGGGCTGATGGCTCGGAGCCTGGAGCCTGTTTCCGATTCTGTGTCTCCCTCTCTCTCTGCCCCTCCCCCGTTCATGCTCTGTCTCTCTCTGTCCCCAAAATAAATAAACGTTGAAAAAAAAAACATTTTTAACCTTTATGAGGAATTTTAGTATAGGACAGACTGAATTCCCTCTGAGATATAAGAAATCTTGGAGTCCTGTCAACACATTAAGGAATCCTCATCAGTTATGAGGCAGTGGGGGAGTAACATCTCTTGGACACTCTTACCAGGCACCGTTGGCACTCTTCACATGCATTAGCTTAATTACCACTGATCATCTATTAGCAGCTATGAAAACTAGGGGGGCAGTACTTGTCAAAAGCCAGAGACAAGCTCCATCACTCTTTAATACAATTTTCTTCTCTGAGTTTTGCTGCTACAATGTCCTAAGATGACATATCCTAGAGGAGGGAAGATGCTCCATTTGAAATTTTAGCAACAATTAGCAGATGTTCCTTTTGGGAAAGGCACAGGCCCATGGATTCAAATCTTCCAGCAAAGGCAGTCCAAGCCTCCCTCAGAAGACATCTCAGGGATTGGAAAAGCTGAGTGTTTGCTGTTGTCCGGAAATCCACAAGGGGGTGCTAGACCAAGCCTCCGCCGCAGGGCCCATGCGGATCAAAGCAGCACTGGCTGCGAAAGAATGTTTTTCAAACTGGGGTTACAACCCATGATTATCCCATGAATTTAATTTGGTGCATGATCAATCCATTTAAAAAAATTAAATGGAATATAAAATATCTGAGTACATTGCATACAGTAAGGGTAAGTAATGTTTTGGGAAACTTGTTTCAGTCACAGGCGGTGATGCAATATGTATTTCTTAATATGGGTCATTAAAAAAGAAATTGAAAACCACTCCCTCAGCCATCAGTAGATCAGTTTCACAAACAAATCCCTAGGCTTCAAGAAATAAAACAGGTTTGTTCTTCCCTCTGGTTAAAGATGCACCTACACCAAATTCCCTGTGCTAACAGCTAGAAACAATGCCTGTGATTGGCTCTGGGCCTTGGGAAGAAAGTACAAATCAAACTTATTAGCAGTTGTGAGAAGACAGGGAAATTGTCCTCTTTTTTCAAAAAGGAAAACCTGAGTCCCTGGCTCCTGGGGGTGAGCTCTGCCAATGTGATGGAAATATGTGTCCACAGCCTGTCATCTGGGATGGGACAAGTTCCCATTGGTACCTATTTTAGGGAAGACCCACAGCTTGAAGGGGAAGGTCCACACCAGAACTGTGGGAATGAGTGGAACTATCTGTCTCAGAATAAACTGCACCAGTGCCAATAATGCCCTGAGAATTGTCTTCCCCTGTGACTTTTCTGAAGTACCTACTTGTCCTCACCACGATGGTCTTCCATCACTCACTCCTTCTGTGTGGAAATAGTCCTATGTCCCTGATGGGCTTCTTGAAGGAGAGGCTGGGCCTTTCTCTTCTTGCCATTTGGCACCTGTAGAACCCCATGCTACCAGAGTACCTAGCTCAATGTCCTGTGCCTAAGAGGCCCTCACCAAATCTTCGTTCATTGGTTGAGTATTCTTCAGAGGCAAAAAGACAACTGGTTTAACCAAGCCTGTCTTCTCCAAAACCCTTCCCAGTCACAGAAGTACAAGGAGGCTTAGGAATCTCCAATCGCAAATGTCATCCAGATTCCAGCATTCCTACGTATACACAACGCAAGACTTGTGCATACACACACGCAAAACATTGTCCAGTGCAAGTAACTGAATTTATTTAGCTTCCTTTGGACAGAAGCTTTGCTTATAATCAAATAAGAAGTTTAATTAAGGACTAAAAAGTAAGAGAGAAAATGGAGAAGGGACGAATGATGTATGTCTTAAACAAAATACCATTTTCAAATATCCCAGCCTTGTTAATAAAAAAAGAACAACAGGGCAAATCCCAGTAGAATGTACACACCATGAGACCTGGCTTTCTTGTTCTTTGCTATATCCCAGAAGCTAGTACATTGCCTGTGGTAGCAGGCATTCTCTAGATGTTGGATGAATAAATAAATAAATGAAAAGCAGAATAAAAGGAAAGACACTAAAACTACTGTAACTACTAAAACTACAGCTCAATTTGGGGCGCCTGGGTGGCTTAGTTGGTCGAGCGTCTAACTTCGGCTCAGGTCATGATCTCACAGTTTGTGAGTTCGAGACCTGCGTCAGGCTCCATGCTGACAGTTCAGAGCCTGGATCCTGCTTTGGATTCTGTGTCTCCCTCTCTCTCTGCCCCTCCCCCACTCATGCTCTGTCTCTGTCTCAGAAATAAACATTAAAAAAAACTTTTTTTTAAATATCAGCTCAACAAAATAGAATAGGTAAGATGAAAGGGGTAAAAATCATGTTTTAGGATAGAAAACAGGAAAAAGAGAGGCATGTGGCCCGAATACCATGAAGCATGATGGGAAAAAAAAAAACAGAAAAGCAACATGGAGGCTCACAGCTCATGGCTCTTCCCTAAGGTCATGCTGTTATTCTCCTACATAATGGTCTCAATCCTGGATGCAGATTGGAATCGCCTGGGAGATAAGAAAAATACCTGTCCCTGTGCTTCACCTACTGACATTCAGAATTAATTGGTCTACAGTAGAACTTGGTCATTTAAAAAAATTTTTTTTTAATGTTTATTTTTGAGAGAGAGAAAGAGACAGTGTGAGCCAGGGAGGGGCAGAGAAAGAGGGAGACAAAGAATCCGAAGCAGGCTCCTGGCTCTGAGATGTCAGCACACAGCCCAATGTGGGGCTTGAGCCCATGAACTGTGGATCATGACCTGAGCTGAAGTTAGACACTTAACTGACTGAGCCACCCAGGCACCCCAGGACTTGGTCATTTTTAAAGCTCACTGATGAATTCCAATGTGCAGAGCCAGGGCTACCTGGTGCCCAGCACTGAGGGCTGAAGAAGGCTCCATCTCTGCTGCTGCAGATAAGCCAAAGGTCCACAGGGCATAGCCTGATATCTGACAAACTCAGACTGACCTGGTGGCCTCTCTAGAGAGGAAACCCATAGGAAACCCATAGCAGTGGGTTATGGGGGGACTGGGACTTATCTCTCAGCAGTCAGAGAATGGAGAAAGGGCCAGATTCTGGTGCCTGGAGAGGCCCAGTCACTGAGCACCAGGATATATGAGCTAAATTTGCAGATCAATCATATTACCCATTATCATGTACAACCATTTCCTCTTCTTCATGTCTTGGTTTCCTGATCGGTGAGTTTGACAACATAAAGTCCATTATCTGTTATGCACTGTGAAGAATGGGACCATGGGTGGGGAAAGGGTAAGACGAGCTGTCTACCT